TATATATATGGATAAGATGATAAAAATATGACTTTTATTGCTTGTTTTTATCTCATGCCATTTCTCTAATTTTCTTCCCCTACAATCTCATAATATTGTTCACGAGATGACGATATCACACACACTTTTGACTTCTGATTACCTAGCCTAGAGAGTTAAAATAAAATAAAATATTTTATTTTATCCTTATCCCCCATGAACGTAGCACATATGATTACTAGTCGTGGGAGACATTTTTATGTACATGCATATATTTTTCACCTATATATAAACCGTGTAGTGGCACTCTTTAAACACATCCAGTCTAGCTATTTGGTCAAAACAAGTGCAGCATATAGATCATCATTTTGTCCTTAACAATGACCAATTCTAACGTCAAGTCTTCACTCCTTAACTTACTTATAATGTTTCTTCTCTTGGTATTTGTGGTTAGTGCAGGCGCTCGTTTGTTCTCCGAGCAAGATATGACCGATAACTCCAAAATGCCAATGAAACAGACACTTCCAGATCGGAGAGTACCTTCGGGCCCAGATCCAATACGCTATGATAATGCTACCGCTCCACCACCTCCGCAGAAGGGTGATCGGACAGTACCTTCGGGCCCAGATCCAATACACCATGATAATGCTACCGCTCCACCACCTCCGCACAAGGGTGATCGGACAGTACCTTCGGGCCCAGATCCAATACACCATGATAATGCTACCGCTCCACCACCTCCGCACAAGGGTGATCGGACAGTACCTTCGGGCCCAGATCCAATACACCATGATAATGCTACCGCTCCACCACCTCCGCACAAGGGTGATCGGACAGTACCTTCGGGCCCAGATCCAATACACCATGATAATGCTACCGCTCCACCACCTCCGCACAAGGGTGATCGGACAGTACCTTCGGGCCCAGATCCAATACACCATGATAATGCTACCGCTCCACCACCTCCGCACAAGGGTGATCGGACAGTACCTTCGGGCCCAGATCCAATACACCATGATAATGCTACCGCTCCACCACCTCCGCACAAGGGTGATCGGACAGTACCTTCGGGCCCAGATCCAATACACCATGATAATGCTACCGCTCCACCACCTCCGCACAAGGGTGATCGGACAGTACCTTCGGGCCCAGATCCAATACACCATGATAATGCTACCGCTCCACCACCTCCGCACAAGGGTGATCGGACAGTACCTTCGGGCCCAGATCCAATACACCATGATAATGCTACCGCTCCACCACCTCCGCACAAGGGTGATCGGACAGTACCTTCGGGCCCAGATCCAATACANGTATTTGAACATTGCTCGATTATTTTATATCAGTTTTGAGAAATGCAGTATAAAAAAGGTCCTGCATCTTTTTTATCTCCCACATTTTGATAACAAAATGACAAGACGGACATTAGGTGGCTGAGTAATCTTATTAGCCAGGGTAGTCAGTTCTATGTTGCTGTAAGATTAATCATCTGAAATGATTCTGAATATAAAATATAATATTTAGGTGCTCACCTAGGATGCTTGGAAGCCATGTACTTTCCGACTAATGCCCGATGGGATTCACAGTCATTTTTTTTTTCAGAACTACAAGCATGGTATATGAGAAAATCTCAATTCCAGTGCAAATTATTTTAGTGGAATTCCAACAACAATTTCACTGAATATTCAAATGCTATTATTTTAATTGAAATTTTTGAATGTATTTTTTTGTATTCCAATGCAAATATATATTTTAGTGGAATTCCAACAACAATTTCACTGGATATTCAAATGCTATTATTTTAATTGAAATTTTCGAATGGATCCTAAAGGAAATTCCAATGAAAGTATTCCTTCCGAATGAATTTTTCAACTAAAATTGCAATGAAAACTCATTCCAAATAAATACTTTTTGTTGTAATTTTTTTCCAACGGAAGCTATATTATTGGAATATTTATTGAAAATTTTATTGTAATATATTATCATTGGATTTTCTAATGTAGTATGAATTTTTTTTTAGCAGCTAAAGGGTGAAGGGTTACAGGTTCATAGCCATCATGAACATAGGCACATAAATCTTTAATGAAGTATTCTTATTGATAAAGGATACCAGAACAAGTCACATAAACCTGAGAAACCAGTCAACTGGGCCGGGAAAACTTGTTAGTCAAATAGAATTGCAGAAAGGTCGAATAGGGGTCGAACGTGGTTTTATAATAAATGGATCACAAGTGTTGTGTACAAATTGTTATATTTTACCGAGTACCGAATCAAATGATTTGTTTCCCGGGTCGATCTCTCGAGGAAGGCTGTTCGGAATTTAGCTTTGGTACCGATAACACACAAAAAGAAAATAAATCCTAGACACTCTAATCAAATAAGGGGGTTTGAATAATTATTAACTAAGAAATAAAATAAACAATAATCTAACTAAAAATATAAACGAGTAAAGATGAAGAAGCTAGGGAATCGGGAATAATTTATTCAAGTTCTTAGCAAAACCGGACAATCAATTGTTCGGTTCGAGATTGACACACTCGCTTAAGCATCTAGCGGTTCGCTCTCAATAACTCTTCGTTACAAGGGATTGAACATAGACAAACAAGCTCGAGCATACAACACAGGCCAATTATCCCAATCCCAATAATTTTTTGTAACAAGGGACGGGTCATCGACAAGCACGTATTTCAATCTCAACCCATAGATTATTCAGTTACGAAATTATCTATCTCATGCAAGCCTAGGTCTACGACTTCTTCCCTTTCGGTCAAAAAGTCGCTAATTTAATTAGAAGGTGTTTAATCAACTAATCATTGGAATCAACAAAACCAAACTCGACAACTCAATATCCAATTGTTACCAATTGCAAGATCGAAGTGTCACCCTTCGATTATATCAAACTATCAAGCACAATTTCATCAATTTCTAATCAATTCAACTCACATAAGCATGAACAATTCAAGGCCCGACAAATATACGTTAAACAAGAACAATCATCCCCTATCCCTAGCAATAAGAATTAGCTACGTAAAATAAATTCAATACGATCAATCATATAAACCCAAGCAATCAATTTCATCAATTAAATGAAAATTAAATAACTTACGATTAATATGTAGAAATCATTCTCGAATCCAAGTACAAGCTTATCCCAAGAGCAAGAACAAAATCTACGTGAAAAATGGAGTTGATTTGGAGAAGAAATGGAAAAAGAAAAAAATGGAGAAGAAGGAGAGGAAGAGAGCAGGCGGACGGGGTAGAGTTTCTTATTTTCTCATCCCCAAGAGGGGAGATGTCTTTAATCGATGTCCGGTGCGCGTATATATAGGAGTGGGAGTGCCACAACGTTGAAAGAGTTCCACGACGCGAGGCTGATGAGCGCCACGGCGCGAAGGAGGTGCAGCGGCGCGGCGCTGGGAAATCTGTGCATTCTGACGGCTCGTGGTTGGCTTCACGGGATGTGCGGCGGTGCGGGGACAGGAAGGTGCCGTGGCATGACGGGGCAGCACGGCGCGAGGAGGGCCTGCTCCACGGCGTGGTAGGGGCAGCAGCGTGAGGTGCTGTTAGGCGGTCTTTGAAGGCCTCATGGCAGGTTCCACGGCGCGGCGCTGGCGCGACGGTCTAGGAGCTCGGGCCTGAATGCATCACTTCGCGTCTCGTGTCCGTTCGAGCTTGTTTGGACTCAGAATTTGATTCCGCTTTTTCTTGTGTGTTGCCAACGAAACACTCTATGTACTTATGTTCACCAGGTCCATTTATCATGGAAAATATATCCTCTTGAATTTTCCAACCTGCACACCAAAGACGAAGAAAAACTGAAAGACGACAAAAAAAACACAAGAAAAACCAAAATAAAGGAAAACACGCAATAACCTATAAAACGAAATAAAAACCAACGAAAAGACCTAATATGGTGGAAAAAGAAAGACAAAATAACAACGAAAAACGCAACAAAAATGGGACAAACAGAAAGCAGGTCGAGCAAACAATTTTGGAACGGTTTTGGCAGAATTGTAAAATTCTTCATTCAAAAGCGGCAAACGCTGAGGCCAAATTGGAAATAGAAGTAACAAAGCTAACCAATAACAACTTCATTTGGGAAGTACAGTATCTTGAATGGGTCGGGAATGGGTCACCAACCGTGTTCTTGTAAAATATTCAAATGGGCAATGGATACTTTGTATAGACTTTACTAAGATTAGAATAAAGCTTGTCCCAAATACAGATATTCTTTTCCCCACATCGACTATATGGTAGACGCCATTGCCAGGCATGAACCAATTATTTTTAGGGATGATATTTAGTGACTCAAGTTGGAATAGAAGTTAGTCCCACAAAAATCGAAGCAATTCTCGATTAGAAGCCCTCCACTTTGGTCAAACACATTCAAAGCCTTACCAGAAGACATGTTGCGTTAAACAGATTCCTCTCGACGTCAACATACGATCAGTGTCAAGAATACTTTGAATCTATAAAGAATAATCAACTGTTAAATGGAACAAGGAGTGTCAAGACGCTCTTGATGCCATTAAAACCTTACTCCCAATGGTGTCGAACATCTAAAGGCCAATGCATTCAGAAGTTCCCTGTCTTTTCTTGCCATTTTTAATACGAGGGTCAGTTTGACCCTTTTCTAAATCGTTGGCAACGTTTAACATCCGATGTACTTCGTCAGCCATGTTTTCCACAAGGACGAACTTAAATATTCTTTTTTGAAAATATTGGCCTATGATTTTGTCATTTCCTCCTGAAAGCTTTGACTCGACTTTTTTGAACATCCGATTGTGGTAGTGACAAGTTATAACGCTGAAACAGATTTCACACTCTTGAGGAATCTATGNAATGGGCCCCCGATGGCCGTTAGGATGCGATATAGACAAACCGTGTATTATAGGTTGCAAATTAAAAAAAAAATAAAAAAAAAAGAGAAAAAAACTTTAGGTTGCAAATGCAAAATACGAGTATAGTACTGATTGCAAAAAATTATTTACCCTTTAATTTATATGCATATTTGTGAAAAGCAAGAAAATAGAAAAAGAAAAGTAAGAATACAACTAACCCTAATCCCGGTTTGATTCAGTTTCCTTTTTTTTTTCATCGTATATTTGCATCAATCTCTCTACATTCATCCGTTTTCTTCCGCTTCTCTCTCTTCCATTCCAAATCCAAACCTCCATTTCTGAACAGCGAGTTAAATTGACAGCAATCGTGTCTCTACAGATCTATCTGTTGCAGGGGAGGCTCCGCCGCGTCTTAGCTATTCTTTTCTGATCGATCTCTCTGGCCAGGGTTGGGATGGCGCAGCATTTTTTATGTTTGATTTTTAATGTAAAAATTTGAGTGCCAGGCTTTGGTGTAGAGGATTTAGGTGTGGCCTTCGATTTAGTTGATTTTTAGTTCTCATTTTTTCTTGGGTGTGGGGTTGGGATTTCATTTTTAGCTAGCTGCACTTTGCTAATTGATGCCTCATTTTGATTGATTTATCTGCATGTAGTGGAGATAATTGGATAAATTGGTTCTATTATGTTATAGAGGGGATGATAATTGGATAAATTGGTTCTATTATGTTCAGAATCTTTGATATTGTATTGATTCCATTACTATGAAGGCAGAAGATTGATTTTTACGTTTATAGGCTCGTTGTTGTTCAGGATATCCAAATGCTATGCTGTCCAATTATAATTGAGATTTTGCATATTTGTTTTGCAGGACATTGTGGGTTGATGGCTTTTGTGGTAAAATGACTGAAGTTAGGTTGAAAATAATCATGAGGATTTTGAGTTGGTTAGCTGTTGGATGCCTTATCCCTGCTTTGAAGGATCTATTGGTACTCAATAAGTTTCATGGAAAAATATATGTTAGTGGATTTATTTGAAATAAAAAGGAGATTTCATGAATTCCTAGTAACCAGTTTTCTGTGAGTAGTGAGCTGATGCTGAATGATTTTGATAAGAAATTTGAAAGGTTATATCAAAGCACGTTGTCATGTTATTTTTTTTGGTTGGGGTTATATTATCTGTAGCATTTACAAGGAGTTTAAAGTAAGCAGAGAATTTTTTTTTTTGTTAGTTGTCTTTATCGTTATAACTTAATGCAACTTGTGAATATATACTCTTCTTTCATTTTTTACTTTTTCTTTTTCATATATAGTTTACTGTTCTTCCAGCAGGCATGATTTTTATTTATATCAAAGCACATTGTTATGTTATTTTCTGGTTAGGGTTATATTATCTGTAGCATTTCCTAAGTTTACAGTAAGCAGAGAATTTTTATTTTTAGTTCGTCTGTATCTTTGTTATTTAATGGAATATGTGAATATATGTGCTTCTTTCATTTTTCATTTTCCTGCAAACATGAGTTAGATTGATATCATTTTGGAAGATGTATTTTCTATATGTATATAGGTCTTATATTCGCGTAAGGCGGTATGTATATAGGTCTTATATAAGCATAATAAAATCTTATGTTAATAATCATAATATATTATACTTAAAATCCAAAGGAATTCGATGACATTTAAATAATAATAATACAAAATGATGGATAGCATCTTCAATGCTCAATGTTGTAGTGGTAAATTACATTCCACATCAACACACTTATTAATATCACAACTTTTCATTCTTCAATGTACAATGTGATCACAAATGTTGTGGTGATGTTGACATAATTAATATCTACAATGTAGAGCGGAATGTGGTTCATCAACATTCTCTTCCACACTCCAGTTAGTTAATAAAAAGAAGAGAGATAATTATTGTTACTATTTTCAAATTATTTAATTATTTAATTGATTTTATTATTTTATATTAAAATTTTAATATTTGGTAAGTAGATAATATTGTGATTAGACTACATTGTGTATTTGAGATGATTTTTAACATTTGGTCAAATAACATTAGAGCATCGGAAATAATAATAATTAAATGAAGTGGACAGTTGATTTGAGAAATTTCGGGATGATATGTTTTGCTTGCTCACACACACAGGCTTTATCAACTGCCAAACAAATGAAGTAAAATGCATGGGGGCCCACCATAATCCTTGAATGCCCACCAGCCAACCAAACAGTGATGCGATGAAACATTACTTGCAACAAATCAAATAACAAAAAAATAAAAATAAAAAATCAAATAACAAAACAAAAATCAAGAAAACTAATTTCAGCTTTCAACAACTCATTTTATGAATTATGATGATCTTCTGTTCGTTTTCGTCTGCTTCTTTTGCTCACAGTCCCAAGTCTACACCGCTTCACATTTATACGACACCGTTTGGGAATTTGAACAAGAACCCAAGACCAAGAGTGTTGGTTGGACATTCACATTTTCGCTCGAGAAGAAATCTCAGTTCTCTCTTCTTTGTGGATTCTCCTTTGAGGGCACCGGTCAGATGTTCCCCACAGGAACAAGAAATGCAGCAGCTGGTACAACAGGCAGAAGCCAAGGATCAAGTCTACGAATTGGAGAGGCTGTTTTCAAACCTTAATCAAGCCACATTGAAAAGGGAACCTGGTAACAACTCAAAGTAGATATTGCCTTTTCTCTTGATTTCCTGGTATCAGATAAAATGATTACGGTTGATTTATTAACTTGCTATATAGTTCTTGAAGCCCTTGTGAGACACTTTCTTGTTAATTGAGAAACTAGTTAGTGCAATGGGCAATCGTGCAATAAAATGGTAGAATGTTATAATTACATTTTGATGGTTGTGTAGTAAAACAATAATGATAAGCAGGAGAAGGGTCGTAGGTAAACTGCTTGTATAAGCTTCGAAAGTGTTTCAAATCGGATGTGAACTTGTGTAGCATTTTACATTATTTAAACCACCTATGGTATGTTATCTTTTTTGTTACGTTAACCCGTCATTATTATGCAGGACAAGGTAGAGAAAGCTTTTGGCCTCATAATTTTGATTGGTTATGGTTAGTTTACATTTTTATCGAATATATTTTCAGGAAGCCTAAGCAGTGCAGTCTTCCTTGTTGCTGGCACCACTGTATGTTCATTCACTTTCTTGGACAGCTATATTATTTTTGTTAAAACAAACATTTATGCGTACTTACATATCAAGCATTAAAAAAGTTGTCATATCTTGTATCCTTTATAACTAAATGAATCTCATTTAGGCACAGGAAAATACTACCACATATTTATTTGCCCTTTTGAAATGAACTTTTTCGAACCAACGCTTGTTACATCCATCATTTTTGGCAAAATACTATTACACTTCATGATTTTTCAACTGCTTATTTTAATGGTTTTCCCAGTTTATGTTGCTGAATTTTTAAACAGGTTGGTGCTGGCATCCTTGCCATCCCTGCTGTGACACAAGAAGCTGGATTTCTTGCATCAGCAGTTACCTGTATCTTATGCTGGATATTTATGGTAACCATTATCTATTTTTTTTTTTTCGTGGATAATAGCTTACACAGTCAATGACGTTCATTTTATTTCATTCAGTCTACAAAAATAGTATCCTAAATAACTAATATTAAGTATTTGGTTTGTCTGATATTTTACGATGAACTGACAATTCCTGTGTTTGAAAAACTTTTTGTATTGAGAGAAGATTATCAGAACACTTGAAAACATCTTCTGCTCTTAATACTTTTATAGATACATGCACATCTGGGCCCTAAACAAAATGATGTCAAAACTAAATATTGAAAAAATACGAGCACTACAAATTCAAATCACTTATCCCTATTGTTGTAGTTGATATCTCCTTATTCACAACCGGAACTAATAATTTGTCTGCGTAACAGCTGGGAATAATTCCATTTTGTGTTTTACCTTCTCTTTCGAAAGAATGAACAAGCTCAAATGGATTAAGCTCTTACATCTGTGGCACATGTTTATCCCGAGATATCTTGTCTGCTGAACCGTTTTTTCTTTTCAATATTCTTATACTAGAATATAACTATGATACTGCAAGCTTTGAACATTGTAGGTCGTCACTGGACTGCTCATTGCCGAAGTAAATGTGAACACAATGTGTGAGCTTGGTTCCGGTGGTGTCTCATTGGTAACTTCTTTTATGTGATAAAATCCTTCCATCCAAATTATGCCTTATTGAAGGTTAAATAGTGGTCATTTGGTAGGGACTTTAACAACTGAGGACTAATGTGCATTAATTTGGTCTTATTGTTAAAAATGCAGGTTTCAATGGCCAAGAGGACTCTTGGAAGTACTGGGGTTCAGGTTGCATGGTAATCTATCTCTTTCTCTGTCATGATACTGAATGAATAGTTTCTGAACTTGGCCCAACGTATTTTCTAGGACTATTAAATCTCAACATTAAAGTTTGGCTGACAACATAATGTTTTCGTTGAGCTGTTTCATTTCTTCGGTAATTTAACTTTTTTTTNAAGGTCTGCGTACAACTGACCCCCCAGACCCCAACTTGTTGGAAATATACTGGGTATGTTGTTGTTGTTGTTGTTCTGTTTGTCCATTGCAAATGGAAAATTGTTGACAATTCTCCTGGCATAGTGCTAATAATGGACTAGATCAAAATGACTCAATTAAATTCTAGTGCTTCTTCTATTAGTGAAGTTTCTAGAAAAAAATATATATCAAACAGCACAATGCACCTTGGGTCGCTACGGAAACAGCCTCATTGTATAATTACAAGGGTAAGGTCTGCGTACAACTGACTTCCAGACCCCAACCTGTTGGGAATATACTGGGTATGTTGTTGTTGTTGCTTGTTCTGTTTATCTTCCTTAATCTAAAGCATTGGGTATGTGATGACATCTCCCTTTCTTCCTTAACATTTTTGGAACAGGCACCTAAAATTATTATGTAGGAAATCAAATCGATAAATAAAAGACCATTGTATTGGTCATAATGCTTTTATTTGGCTGTGTCACTATTCTGCCTCATCACTTCATGCACTATTGATGCCCATATGACTTGTATTTGATTGAAACTTTTTGAGGATAACTCGTGGAGTAGTATAAGATAAGTGTAAATGGTAGGACATGATAGCAAACAATCATAGTTGTCTGGTTCTAATGTTGCTTTCTGTTTTGTGATAGTATGGACCTGATTTATAATATGTTGTTAAACTTGCATGTAACGATGATATTTCTTCCTTTTGTTGTGCAGCTGGTCCTACATTTTCATCCACTACGCGCTCCTTGTAGCGTACGTAGCTCGTTCTTCAGATATTTTGACGAGCTTCCTCGGCATTCCATTGTATGGACTTGTTCTTTCATTTTAAGATTTTTATTATATGTTTTTTTTCACTTAAATTGTTAATGAATAATGTTCATTGAATCCATCGGCATACTTGAATAATATAGCAATATTTTTGGCTGATGAACTTTCGTAGTTTAGTTGCACCAGTTTCGTGTCAGCCTGCACTCAACAATATTCTGAAACTAATTTGATTTACTGTGATATATAATATACCATGAGCTGGTAGGCTGAACAGCAAGTTAAGACGCCTATAGAGACTTCTGTGGTAGATACGCAATGTACACATAGATGTTATCTGCTAATTACATATTTTGGATCGAAATAATGATTTGTGTGGAAGCCTGTGACTTTTCAGATGCATTTGATTTATTTTTTAATTTTTTTTTTCTGGTTTTTTCTTTTCTTTGTCCATGTGAGGAGGTTATCATCATACCTTCATATGTTTGTTAGGTGTTGATGGGCAGCATTATGATTGCAGATGGGAGGCTGCAACTTTGTTTTCTCTGCTTTTTGGGAGTCTGTGCTACTTCGGAAGGTTGAACTTCATTTTATATCTCACAACTTAAGTAAATAATGTACACACCAGTGGCTTTATTTCTAATGTGATTTATCTCCATTCCCATTTTGTCATAGATCAGTATGTGTCACTAGTAAAAAAATAAAATGTTTTCCGGGGTGTAAATATCTCGTAACTTCTCTCTTGCTTTCAGGATCTTTTCTTCTTGTGGTTTAGTGTTTGTTGATCTCTGCATGCATTTTAAATTTGCTTCAAAATAAATATATTTCTATTCAAGGCGTGTTTGTCAATGTATAGCTGTTGTATTGCTGGGAAGAATGTCTTTATGATGCTTGTTTGAACAAAGATCTCGGAAATTACCTTTCAATACACCCCGTCTTTGGCAGTGTGTAATAACTTTTATCAGTGACAATAAGATTTTATTTCTTTTGTAGCCAGCGAGTTATTGGAGCGGTAAATGGTTCTTTAGTGGTCGGCATCATTTTGTCTTTCACAGCTCTCGTGGTAACAAATTCTTATTCTTTAGACGCAGTTACTTTTTTGTACTACATACAAACACAACCCTTACCACTGAACCATTTCTCAGTGTTTTGTTTGTGGGAGCTCTTGTGGTATATTGTAAATAAGGAAAGAGGACTAGTTCGGTTCATAATTTATCTCATTAACTAAACAAGTTTGCAGCTCTGTTTGAAAAGAGTGTGTGTGCGTGCTGTTTTTTCGGGTCATTTAAAATTACGGTGAATGCTTATTTTTACTCCAGGCGGTGGCAAGCGGGGACTTACATTGGGATGCTCTTCTAAAAGTTAATCTAGAGGCTGCACCTCAAAGTATACCAATTATAGCACTTTCTTTTGTCTATCAGGTAGCAAATCAGGTCACCGGATAACTGACTCCACATTTTCATGTTTGTTTGAACTATATATTTCTCATTGAATTAATCCGTTGCAGAATGTAGTGCCGGTCCTTTGTACCAATCTTGAAGGCAACTTATCCAAAGTAAGGTGATAAATCCTTTGGTCATAACATTATATGCCAAACCAAGTACATAAACTGTAATTTTGAAAATCCTAGGTGTATTTGTTTGGGATTTCGACTGACATTTTGAGACTTTTTTAGATTTGAGATTTTTTAAGATTTTCAAATTTTGGAACAAGATTTGGAGGAATCTTGTGAAATCTGAAGTCTGGAGGTGGGATTTTGAGTGGATTTCTTATAAGGTTTTTTCTTTAGAAATCCCCCACTGAGTCTCAAAAATTCTTAACAAATTCTAGACCACTTGAAATCCTAAATGAATACCCCATGTCTTTTAAAAGTCTTAAAAAATATAAATTAAATACACCAGGATTCCTAAAGTTTTAAAAAGTCTTTAGAAATTCCAAATGAATACATTGTTTTAAGATTTTCAGATTTTGAAAGANTTAATTTCTTAGGACTGCAATTGTTCTGGGTACCTCTATTCCACTAGTTCTATTTCTTGTCTGGAATGCCGTCATTCTTGGTTGCATCACAACTTCGGAAATGGGCTCGAACACGCTCATGGACCCCATACAGCAACTGCGGTCAACGAATGGCATTGTTGGGGTCAGTACTTAAATCCTTTTCATTCATAAAATATTTTAACTGCCTTGTTTTTTTTCCTCCAAAAACTCTTAATAATTGTCATCCAAAAGAACTATTTTCTCTCCCATTTGCAGCCGATAGTCGACGTGTTCTCGCTTCTTGCAATTGCCACCTCTTACATTGGTTTCGTTCTAGGCCTGTCCGACTTCCTGGCTGACTGTAAGTGGATAATTTCTTCAGTACAACTAACCATAATATTTACGTCTACTGTTTCACCTTGCCTTATGTGACAAGTGTGATAATAGCACCACCTTTTTGCATTGTTTTGGACTTGATGACATGAGATGACAAGTGACATCAAGTATAAAAGATAAAAAATTTAGGTGTTTGGGTTTGTTTGCCCATCATATCTGGTTTCTAATGCTTTGTATAAAAAATATTTAAAACAAGCAGTGCTGAAACTCCCGGCTGGACAAAACAGGCCTTTGCCTTATCTACTCACCCTTATCCCACCATTGATACTATCTCTGTTGAATCCTGAGATATTCTTTAAAGCATTGGATTTTGCTGGAACGTATGGGGGTGAGTAAATTTTTGCTGTATTTTTTTCTTCTTAAGAATATGACGTGACATTATTAACAATTGATGGTGGTTCTTACGTACATTTTTATTACAGTGTTGGTGCTGTTTGGGGTTCTACCAGCCACGATGTCATGGTCTGACAGGTATTCGGAACGTTGGGAATCTACCAAGATTCGGGTGTTAGTTCCTGGAGGAAAATTGAGCCTGTCGCTCGTGATTGGAGGTGCAGGGCTCGTCATCCTCTCCCAAATACTCGAGAATTTTGGGCATGTATAGTATAGCCATATCCACGTACAAAGATTAACCTCAAATGCTTTATGAGATATTGTTATTGTATTGATATATTGATACCCACATACTAGCAGTGTATAATTTCTGGAGCATTAGCTACATCAACCAGGAGTCTATCCTAGACATGGCCAATACTTGGTTCTGAACCGGCCCAAACATATGCACGGGACGGTTCAGTAAGGGTGGGGTGGTTTAAAGAATTTGGACTTGGACTTAGGTGACATATTATAAGTTAAAATATCACTTAAGTTGAAAAAAAAAAATTGGGTTAAAAATGGTATTTTAACTTATAATATGTTAATTAAACTGTTTACGTATCTCTTCCTTTCATCGGGAAATCAAAATTCTTTACTTTACCGTAATGAAAGTAGATGGCAGGATGCATTGTTGAACTGTTGGTCTGGTAATCGTAGTCGTAGGTCTCGTAGTCCTCTTCTGCATTTATGACGGTTCCACTAGTACTAGCAGTATTAGTGAAATCGGGTGTCTCTTCTTCTTCATACTCCTCGGCAATTTGCATGACCGTTTGTGACCTCATTTTTGCCTTCAAGTCACTCAACAATACTTGAGCCTCCAGGTTTTGTGGCATTATAACGTCGTGCGTTCAATGTATTGCTACAGTTGAGCCGAGACACCAAAAATTTCTTTGGCCATCAAGCATGGAATAGGATAATTGGTACTTGTTTTTAACGTCGGTTCATTCATCTAATCACAATTTCAAATTTTGCAAAATATAGTAGCTATTAAAAATTTGAATTTGATTGTTTGTAAATATAAAAAGGACAGAGTAACATAATTTAAAATAGAATAATGGGCTTGATACTCAACTGCATCAGCCCATTTTAATTGGGTTGAGATGAAAAGCAGTCTCGTGCTGTAGCCCACACATGCACATTGCCCCTTTTCTATCTCTGTCTCCCAATCCTCCCCCAAATTATATTCAGCTCGATTCATTTGAAGATCTCCTCATACCCTAGCAACCAAACCATTCCCTTTCCCAATGACCATGGCCAGGAAACGAAAAACCCGCGCTACAGAAGCTCCCGAGGAGCCTGAACTCATACAGCAAACTGAGCCCGAACCCCAGTCGGAGCCCGAACATCCCCAACCCGATGGAACCATGGAAAATGAAGTCCCTGGAGCGGGAGATGAAGCGGCTAAGGAAGAAGAAAAAGGAGAAGAAAAAGAGCTGGAATTTGAGAGAGACGGCGAAGAGGAGCAACCGGACGACATGCCGGAGGATAAAAACGAAGCCGTTGTCGACCAGATGGAGAACGGGCTAGCTAGTGAAATTACTGAAAAGCCCTCCGAGGTCACCGTTTCGGAGGACGGCCATGGACAGAAGGAGGTGGAGGAATTGGAATTGGAGGAGGAGCCTATCGAGAAGCTTCTCGAGCCCTTTTCCAAGGACCAGCTGACTCTTCTGATCAAAGAGGCGGTGGCCCAACACCCGGACGTAATCGAGAGTGTGCACAGGTTAGCCGATGCGGACCCCGCCCACTGCAAGATATTCGTCCACGGGCTGGGATGGGAAGCCAGTGCCGAGACCATCACCTCTGCCTTTGCCGAGTATGGTGAGATCGAGGACTGTAAGGTGGTCAAGGATAAAATCACCGGGAAATCCAAGGGCTATGGCTTCATCCTGTTCAAGCACCGCCATGGAGCCCGCCGTGCCCTGAAGCAGCCTCAGAAGGTAATCGATGGTCGATTGGCTTCGTGCCAGCTGGCATCCGCCGGGCCCATTCAAGGCTCAGCTCTAGCTTCCGTTTCTTCTGTATCAGGCCCGCCCATGTCTGAGTACACCCAGAGGAAGATTTACGTGAGCAACGTGTCGGCGGAGCTCGATCCCAGTAAGCTTCTGGAGTTCTTCTCCAAATTCGGGGAGATTGAGGAAGGGCCTCTCGGTTTGGACAAACAGACTGGGAAACCGAGAGGGTTCTGCCTGTTTGTTTACAAGAATCTCGAGAGCGCAAGAAATGCTCTGGAGGACCCACACAAGAATTTCGAGGGACATTCTCTTCATTGCCAGAGAGCGGTAGACGGCCCCAAGCACAGTAAGGGGGGTAACTCAAACCAGCAGTTTGGTCAGCCTTATAAGCAGCAACACCACCAAAGCCATCAGGGGTATTATGGTCATTCATTAAAAAAGGGGAAATATGGTGGGAGCAGTAGTGTAGGTCATGCAGGGGGACACTTGATGGCCCCCAGTGGAGGACCACCGGGCATTCCAGCTGCGGGTTTTAATCAAGCAGTTGCTCCTGAGGCTATTGGACAGGCTGTTGCGGCTTTGTTGGCCACTCAGGGGGCAGGTTTGGGTTTTGGAAACTTGCTTGGAGGGATTGGAGCAGGAGTCAATCCACAGGGAGCCCCGCCACCTATGATGAACAATGCTGGTGGCTATGGAGGTCAACCCCGCATGCAGGGAGGCTATGGTGGCCAGCAGCAGATGGGTCAAGGTGGCTTTAGGTCGCATCACGGTGGTGCACCCTATATGGGCCACGGTCACTAGGTAGCCCGAGGTATGTGAATATTGTTACTAATTCTTGTTGTTATTATTGATTCCAGTTCAGTAATATTAGAAATATTAGAAACGAAAGTATTAGAAATAAAGTTTGGGTAGCGCCCATAGATGAGAAAATGAGAGTGGTTTGGGCATGTGCGTAGGAGAGACTTCGAGGTACCGGTGAGAAGGGTAGAAACATTAGAACTAAGAACGCGGATTAAAAGGGGAAGGGGTAGTCCGAAGGAAACTTGCAAGGAGCCAATAAAAAATGATTTAAAATATTTAATTTTGAATGAGGATATCTGCTTTGATCGAGCACGATGGCGATGATGGCGACATGTGATTCATATAGCCGGACTCTGCTGGGATTTTAACTATTGATTGATTGATTTATTTCAGTAACCCTGCCCAACTATTTCAAATGCTGCAAAAAGGGTTTGACGGGGGAATTATGCTCATTGATGGGATGGTTTTGTATTTGTTGTTACTGATTCAAGGCATTTGAAGAAGTGTGAGTTGTGTCTACACTGTAATTTTGAGCCATTAGATTTGGGGTCCTAAGATAAAGTTAAAGTCAGTGTGGTATGGGACTATAGCCAAAACATAGTAGTTGGAGGCCTTATATTCAGGTTTAGATTGTATTCTTAGTTGGACTCCTCATATTCACATATGAGGCATTTGGTTGCAATAACAAGTATTTGAACTCTAGGTATATATTCGTGAACCCTGAAAGTAGAAAATTGTTCGGGATATCACTTCTATTATGTTTTGGTGGCTTAACATTCAGGTTTCAGCAGTATTTTTGTTTAGGACAATCACTCTATTTGACCTCATTAAGGCACGTTCGTTATAAACGAGTATCTGATTTTAGGTATATCTGCACTCTGACTATATTAGTAATGAAGCTAATGCTGTAAAAATATGAACTGATGCATCCATAGTGGCTATGGATGTGTTGAATGATTCGTTTCTAACTGAATCCTAGTCTTGCACCGTCCTAATGTTAACTGAGAATTAAACAAGGACCACAACGTAATGCCTATACAAGTGGAAGACAACTGATTCAACTTATATTATTTTGGTTACTGACGTGTTTAGCAATTGTTGGCACGGGATCACAATCACATGCTGATGCTAGTGCTTCTGCTTCAGAAAATAGTTCATCAAGGAGGAAAGCCAAAATATACGTTCTTGAACCGTTGGACTTCATCCTATTTATTTTTATTTTCATTATGTGCTGGCTAAATGCTACTGAGAAGAAGTGGAAAGTGCTATCTATCAATCAGACAAGCTACAGTAAAGGATTGAGGACAAGGTGCTTACTCGGATGGAGAGATAAAATTGAAATTATTATGCCACCCTGCCCACATATTTGCAGTTACTTTTAATTTTTATTTGAGTGGGTTTTGTGTTCTTGTCTCAAAAAATCAGTTCTTAAAGCCCATCGTTTTCCCCGACAACTGTTTTAAATTTGCTTCTCATGAAATTACATGTTATGTTTGTTTTATGTAGTTGAACTTAGCTTGGGGATAAACATATTAGTACTAAATTTGGTTAAATTGGTAAATGATTTTTGTAACTCAGAATATTTGTTTCTTCTATATTAACAACTTCCTTTGTTTTTCAAATTTTTTTATGATTTATGTATTCATTGTGCAGATTCTTCAAAAAAAGCTTCCAAACTTTTAGTTTTGGACTCTGCTGATTCTTCTGAAGTTCGGGCAATCTTGCAAATGAAGTCTTCCTATGTAGCAAATTTATGATTTGCCTAAAGACTAAAATCAATGAAAAAATGTGTTACTTTTTTATTTTGTTACTTGTTGAACGTTTTCCAAAATTATGTCTTAATTTGGGCCAGTTAACAACTTTTTAAAGGGATCGATCCACGGTCATGCTACTACTTATCTTTCTGAAGGATTTAAAACAATGCCTATTATCTTTCTTCCGTACATCTTTAGTATTGACTTGATGGTTTTCATCTCTTTGCCTTGTATGAAAAATAGTCTTTAACTTAAATGTTAAACTCTTATTTTACTGATTTGAATTCATTGTTTGATTATATCCTTGGGCTTCAATCAAGGGGTTGAACTTCGAAGCCTCACATTTTATTTGTTGTTTCTTTTTTATTTTTTTCATATTGCCCCAAGTGTGTGTTCAATTGTAGGCTGGACAGATGAGAATTCTCTGTGGCTTGATGGTTGACTAACGATCATTATAGTTTGATATTGTACCAGCACTTTGCAGGGGAAAATGCACACAGCTCATGACACATCAGAGATGCTGCCACTTTTGGTTTAAGCAATGTTTATCCATCAGGCTAAAAACTAATAAATCTTGGTTGCATTAACTAAGCTAAAAATTTCTATTTCATCAAACATATTTTTTCATTTTTGGATCAAACTATATTCAACCATAACTGGCATTTCAACTGAAAGTAAAGTTGCTAAGCTTAAAAAGATCTAGGCAAAATGAAGTGCAACCGCTTCAGTTTCTTCTAATGCAAGAAACAATCTCATTTTTGCTTTGTTTTTGAACTTCTGGGAGCTGTACAGAATTACCGCAAGTTTTGAAGTTTTTGAGTGCTTCAGTTATGCATGTTTCTCTGGTTGGTTTATAAAAAATTTAGCCTCCACGAAAATTTTCATCTGGTGCAAATTACTGTTTTCCCCCAGTGGATGGGCTTAGCTACTTGGATTTGTAGAAGCATTTGGTATTGCCGATTGGAAGCTGATGCTAAAAGAGCTTGCTCCAAATGGTGGTGTGACTTAAAGCAGGTGATTGCAATTTGCTTTAGAAGGGAACAATGTAGTGTTAATAAGTGATTTGACCGCGTGGAGTGATATTTTGCTCAATCTTGAGATGCTCTGAAACAAATGTTGGAATCTGGCGAATACCTACATTATCATTTTAACCATATTGATTTTGTGGGATTTACAAGTAGGGTTTTCTTTGGTTGCATTTAGTGGTTCTATTCATCACCACAGCTTTAATAATGAAAATGAGATTTTGTAGGTTTTGGATTTGAGATGCTAAAGGATTTTTAAGTAGTATTTTGCGATGAACTAATTCCCAGGAAATAAGTCTAACATACAAATAAACTAAAAATAATGTTGTGGGGATGGTAAGGAGTGAAATGGTCTTACATCAATCATAGAGCTAATTGATTTTTAAGTAAAGAACTCTATTTTTTAGCTTCTATGCCCTCTAGTTTTACAGTTTATACAGTAAAATTTCACTAATTTTACAGTTTCAACAGTACCACCAATTCCAACCAATTTCCTCTATAATTTCCCTCTAAAAGAATATTCTAAGCATATTCTTTTCTAATTTTATTAGTTTATTAACTAATCTCTACAAATTATATTTTAATACATTATGCTTGCTAAAATTTACATATTTATGAATATATATTAATTATTGATTAATAAGAATAATTAATAAATTTAGATCAAAATTATAAAATTACACACTGCATCATAAAACCACGTGTATTTCATCAAAAACATTAATTTAAAAAAAAATCAACACAAACATGAAGCATTCAATACAATAAGAACAGTTAATTTTGAGTGAGTTGGAAGTTTATCCTTATTTTGTAATTTTAATTTGTTTGTTTGTAATATTTATTTAAGTGAGTTTAAATACTAATTAAAATGCTAATTAAATTATAAAATAACCCGATGTAAATTTTACGCGACCCGATCCCGAATTTCGCTCCTCCTATTCTCATGCCTCGTCTTGCAAATGCTGTCGTCCTGTTATATCAACGACCCAGATCCGCCGACGCCGTACATCTTAAATCGCCGGCGATGATTCATATTACCACCTCATCTTTTCCATTAACTTATTTTTGCTGATCAAAGATCCGATATTTTTTAATCTCGAATAAAATTCTGTAATTGCTAGGGTCCGATGATGAAGATGAAAGCCTCGCTCAATTCCTCGAATCTGAGGTCTTCTCCGAACTCTCCGATCAGGTATGCAAGTCTTACTCTTTTTTTATGTTTTTAATAATTTCTAATAAAATATTTTAATATAATCCATAAACTAATTAAATTATAAAAAAATAAAACAATAACCATGTAACTTAATTTAATCCATAATTCTAGCCCTTAGAAAAAAAAAGCCCAATTCATTGTCCAAAATTTAAAAAAAAAGAAAAAAAAAAACAAAGAGGGGTGAACAGTGGAACGGTAGGGAAGCCGTTCCACAACCCATTCCGCTTGAAATAGAGGAGAGGAGAGAATTACATTGGAGCAAGATTTTCTCTATATATACAGTTTTCGCTGAGTGTAGAGGGTGGGTTGGAGATCCTCTAAGGGTGTGGAATGAGTAGGATTTAAACGCGGGTGACATCATCCAAGTGGATGGAAAATTGCCACATGAACATGTTAAATGTTTTATTAACTTCAATGCTTGTTGGGTTTTTTTACGTATAAAATCAAAAACAAAAAATGAGGAATTTGCACCCCTACTAATCAATATACTTTATATTACGTTTATACACCTAATAAATATTTATTTGCAAATCTACTAAATTCATCATACTTATTTGCACATATATCATATTTTTAATTTTATTAATTATGTTTTTCAAATATAAGAAAGAGCGAACAATGGTTATATAAATGAGATATAGTTATAACTGATCCCTAATATCTGGGATATATTTAATTTCTCCATCCACAATGAATTTGTAACAAAATGTGCCTAATGGCAGGACCAAAAGAATCGAATAATCCTTTCATGATCTTTAAAGTATTTTAATGCATGCAGAAACACGTTATGCATCTGTAAAGAAAACCGGCTTACGGAAATGTTTCCAAAAGAAAAGGTATTTAATGACTCAAATCAAGGAAAATAAGAAAAAATGTATATTAATTTGCATCACCTTGTCTGCCAGTTGTCCCAAGATCTATCCACAGCCACACTGTTGCTACTAAAGCTCCAAGTTATTATAGTTGGTATGTCTTTTTCCCGAGGGTGATCACGAGCATTTTGAGATTCATTTTGCCTAAAATGATTTAGTGAAGTGCCATCGTTTCTTTGTGATGAAAGTACCAGGGTCTTGTAAGGTCGCGAAATATGAGGTTTTGCACACAATTAAAAAGTTACAAGTACGTATTTTTAAACATGGAAATTTTGCCTTCAAATGAACTTAATAAACGGACAACAATTTACAACACATGAGCAGGAGCAAACGCTTTCTAATTTCACCGATAAGAGTACGCATCAGCAATGATAAACATAGAAATGACCGTAATTTTCGGTGGCAAAGAACTAATATAAATGGCATAATCCATGGTATAGTTCTTAATGGAAAGTATTTGTAAGAGATTACAATGGGAGGTTTATCCAAAATACAAACTACTTCTATTTCATGGTGGATTGATAATTATGTCATGCCGATAAACTATATTTAATGAGATACGTTACTTGCAATATTTCAGATTACTAATTACATGCATAAATTTATGTTGATATCATGAGTTTCAAATCATGAAAACACATAAAAACACTCAAAAGAGAAGATTCTAAAAAATTATTAGTATTTCACCATTGGAAATCGTTGAATCATACATCGGGACGTTACTAATTGTTGGCGGGAAACTGTCAATGCATACAATGTTCGATATTAGATAGCCAGGGGTTGGAACATGGGGGTAGTGATTAGTTAGGTCATGACTGGACAGTCTTGTACGGGGTATAACATGTGCATTTGAATCACATGTTAATTTGAAAGAGTAAATGCGGAAGTGGATAACTATAGAGTAGCAGGCATGCCTAATCAAATGTGCAATATTCTGATAATCTTTCACAAGATTATCCTTAAATAATTCCGTGTATTTCGGTACTATTGTAGCTTATTTCCCCAGTGAGTATATGACCAAATTTGTGAAAATTGCAATAAAGAGTAGGGAATTGTGACATAACTAAACTTGGAATGAGGATGTAGTCAACCCAAAGACTTACAACAAAACATTATGTTCTTAGCATGTTAATGCATTAATGCAACCATTATCCACTTTCTAATGTTTTCATGACAATCTAGAGGACCATAGTTAAATTTCTTACTCTAAAGAGGGCACCGATATTGAAAAACCAAAAATAGATTGCTCACAACAAATAATTAAGCACTGACATCATTGTTTGGAGTATGCTGTTTTCAGCGAGACAGGACATACACGATAAAAAAGATTCATAAATATATAGATTACATAACCATATCCTACTTAATACACAAATATTTGGTCATACATGAATCTACCAATGTACAAGTTTAGCAAAAAAGAATTGATGGCGACATAGTTACTTGGACAGAAATAAAACAAGATAATATATGCATATCTATGCATCCAGGGAGGCATATACATGATCTCTCACCTAAAAAGGATATCAGGTAACGGTTGACGTGCATGCATGCACATTTGTTTTGCCGAATCATTCAACTGGATAATTAGCAACCCAGATTCCGTACATTCCTAATTTTCTATTCAAGGATCTGCTGTGTTAGATCCTCCATAAGAAGAAACAAACCAGTATGGGAAATAACACAATTTAATCTGAGATAATGGTCAGTAGAATTTGATGTTTTTTTGGCAAATGGTACTAGATATACTCACGTCACATCAGATGTATAAACATCTTAGATATAATGTATGTCAAATTGCCTTTTCCTTACACAAAACATGAATTATGCTCACAAATTTTCACGTCTCCTATCTAATTTTGAGTCTCAACTACGACAAATTAATCCCAAAGCAACACGTCATTTAACCCAAGTAACAAACGTGCATTTAATTTCACATGAAAATAGTAACATTCTGCACTGCAAATTCGAAATCTTCCCTACTAAGAAATAGAACTAGCATATCAAATACATTCTCTCAATGCTGATTATTACTATCCCCGTGACAATTCTTATTCGTCACCAGAATTCCCAGCAAAAGCCCTAAACAGATTGTAGCAATAAATACGCTTCACAGACGATACCATTCGATTTCATGACTAAAATCCTCACACATACGAGCGCATACAGATGCACTTACATATAAAAAAAAGAAAGTAAGATCTGACCTGTGAGGAAAATAGAGAGGCTGTCGTGGAGGAGAGCTAACCATTAAATCAACTGAAGCCAGTCGCCGTCGTAGCATGGTTTGGACCCCCAGATACCTCATCTCTGCCATTGCCATTCTCCATGGCTTCTTCTATGCCATTGGCATTTCCCATATTCAGAATCAATCGAACAATAAGTATATGATCCACGCCTCGTCGAAGCTGGGCTCCAAGTTCTTTCTAGAATCTTTACTCGCCATGGCAAGTGGTGATTTATGGTTTTTTGAACGAAATTCCACAGACGTTGCCAAATGGTAGTACAAACAACCTCAACCCGGTTGAACATCCTTTGATCCGTTCATGAGCCAGTGAATAACCTGCAAAACAGCGTCGAGGGTTGTCCCGGCGTACAAGCTTCGATGCTAAGTTAGTAAACAAGGATGAAGATGATAACGAATCGTATGTATATAAGTCTAGAGTTTAGAGTGTGCAGAGTTGTGATGTTCATGCCTCATCCCTTTATATAGGTACGTTACCTTGTTACCCAAGTTCTGCCCGATTTAGCTGTCCAAGTGCTTGAACTACCCGATTGTACTACCCAGGTGCCCGGACTACCTGATTGTACTGCTTGGACACCCGAACTACTCAACTACGTTAGCCACGTGGTCTTCTTATCCTAATTATATTCTTGCTTATTTTTATATGTTTACATTAGCCTACCTCATTAGGTAGTTACTTTGAGCATAATTGCGCTATTAGCTCGATTTTTTTATAGCTAGGTCGTTCTGGCCTTCAATGAGAAAGATTTCGCTTTAGATCCTACGTCGACCTATTGGCTTCCAAGTCAACTTCAATCAGGCTATTCAAGAGCCCTAAATCGACCTGTTGCTTAACCAGTTTGCCTGATGGTCATCGTCAACCTAGTGGTTTAGCGATCTCTAGTCTTCTTGTTGTTTGGCCGACCTGCCGGTGCACTTCAACCGGTCAAACTATCTTTAGATCTCATAGGACCTCATATATTATGATGTAGTATCCCATATTAGAAGAAACCATTTTTTGCAAACTAAATTAAAGGTCATTAAATTCAAAACAACCTACAAAATGTGCATCATTAATGTTCAATTGAACAAGGTTTAACTCTTTTTTCGTGTCTATTTCTCGTATTTATGAAAATTAAACTTCAATTACGACATCATAAAAACATAGCTAGTGTCCTTAATTAGATACCAATAATCACCGAACATTAATAGAAAACAATGCAATAATTGGTCATTTGAGGATTAAAAGATGGAAAATAGTGGTTGTTTATAGGAAAAGATTATTTATAGTGATTTTGATGTTACAAACCATTTGAAGGGCCGAGAATCAACTCTTAGGTTTCTAGCTAGAAAAGATATCCAGGATTATTCGAAATGATTTCAAGAGGTAGAAAATGACTATAAATAACTTATTTAACAAAAAAAGTGATTTGTTTTATGTTGGAAAATCAGTTATAAAACATTTGAGTTTGATTCAGTTTTAACTAATTTTTTTATGGCTGAATATTTAATTCGAGTTCAATTAAATGTGTAAAAAAAATTCTACGTTCTGAGTAGATACGTGTGATATACATATATATATATATATATATATATATATATATATTGTCAAAACAAATTTTCGAGATATGAGAAATATTTGATTAAAGTTAGTCATTAATGAACATGTAAAATGTTGATTGTGGGATTCGAAGGATCAAAAGTCTTATTCCACATTGAACACTTAAATGAGATTAACTCTCTTTATTATAATAAAGAGAGTTAGAGAGGTCACAACAACAACAAAAAAGTTATGCATCAAGTATTGGTGATAACTTCGGCCACACGCGTGCGCGCGTGCCTCCCTGTCGGTCAATCACTAGGCTCGGCTCGGGTTTGGGACTTGGGACTTAAGCCTTGGTATTTGGTAATTAGACTTTGGGCTGGACTTAGACAACCTTGGACGGTGGTTATCTTTTTGTTGCAAATTTATTTGCAAAACTGAAGTCCAAGATAAAATTTCGACTGAGGTGGGTTTGGACTCGGGTTTTGACCCAACCCAAGTGAAACCTCTCCAGATACATTGAACTTGGACATGTGCGACCTTCCACTTGCTCCACCTGAATGTTTTGGTGGTTATCAGGTGAAGTGAATGTGAGTTAACACCTGAAAAACGATCTGACCGTTTTTTTCTATTAGAACAACCATCAGTGGGCTGTTATACGAAGACTAGAGGTCATCCCCTACTGGCTGGAAGTTTAATAAATAGGACATTGTAGAAGCTGCAGAAGAAGACTTAAAAAAATCATCTACATTCTATTTCTTTATAAAAGTCTCACGTATCATAACATATAGTGCTTAATTCTCGACTCCATTCACGTTCGTCGGAGCTCGAAAGTTTTGGTGTGGTACAATATTCGAGACGTCAGTCGTTGTATCTTTAAGGACGAAAGATCTGAACCCGTCAGCATATTAAGGGAGTATCCATCTTGCTGAAAGAGATATTCTCACATTGATTATACTCTTCTCACTTTCTCTTTCATTGTAATTTTCTGTATCTAGTTCAAATTGTAAGAACTTAAAAAGTCCAATTTCAATTCATAAGTTTCCAAGAAATTCAAAACGATCAAATTGTAAGAACTTAAAAAGTCCAATTTCAATTCATATATAAGTTTCCAAGAAATTCAAAACTAGTTTGTAACACTTTCCTCATTACACCTCAAATGACCAAACAAGGGTATTCCCTCCATATCGTGTGAGTTTGTTTCGCTTTTTTCTTATCAAAAACAGTTTTAGGCGTATATTTGCATTACGTACTCTAATTTTATCCATACCATATAAATCCCAAAAAAACATTGATATTTGTGTGTGTATATATATATTGATAATTTTATGGTGCTTATTTGTGTGTATATATATTTGTGTGTGCATAAACATACTAGTAACTATCATAAGAGGAAAGATGGTTAGTTGGAAGATTAATAGAAAAAAAGGGGGATAAGAAAAAATTTAGTATACAGATAAATAATGAGAGTAATACTGTATTTTGTAAGCAACATAAGCTATCTTATAACTTATTTGGTTAACTTATAAGTTTTTTATATTCAAATAAGCTTGGTTTATTAGGACGAGTTTTTTCAAAAGCTCGTACTTATCGCATAAGATTCATTGGATAGCTTTTCAAATAAGTCCCTTGAAAATTTTTATTTCAGCTAGATTTTTAACTAATTTTATCACACTCTTTATCATATAAGCTGGATTTTCAACCATAAATCATAAGATATCAACTATAATCTCGAAATTCGCTTATTATCTATCACGTAGCTTATCAGTTAAGTTTTACCAAACATAGTCTAAATATAAGACTAATATTTATTAAGGTAAATAAAGAGCGAAAATATTAATTAATCACTGAAGAACATATGGTTCCTCTGTACTTGATAAAGATCTAAAATGTAATTCAAGTGATATAAAGGGTGCCTTGCGGCAGCCTGAGCACAAGGATGGGGAGGCGGCCGTTGCCCACCAACACCACACCATTGTCTCCTACGCCCCATATTCCTTCCCTTCTGTCTGCCTCCTCTTCCAACTCGTGCTTCTCCTCGTGCTGATCCAGCGCGCCCGGGTCCGTGTAGACCCGTCCGCACATGTGGCACCTGAATATAGTGATCCTTTTCATATCCATCCACCCAACTACATTAGTCTCATCATTTGGCAGGGAGGCAAACACCATCTCATGATATTCGCTAGCGTGAGGTAGCGCCATGCTAATATTTTTAAAGGGCTAGCTAGTGAGACGACGAGGGTTTTGTGGAGGAAATATATAGTACACACACGAAGATGCAAATATATATATATATATATATATATATATATATATAGCTGTAAAATGTTTTACAAATTCTTGGTAATGTAGATTAGATTTTGTTTTGAATGCAATTGGATTGCATTTATATAACACTATCTATGATCTAATATATAAAATAACAGCCACTTATAAGACAGCATGAGTTGGGTTGTATAATTTGGATTAATTAGAGAGACCGGCTAAATTTCATTTTTAGTACACTATGTTTGTCTTTTTTCGAAAAAGGTCAATCATATAAGGTGTCATAAAAAGTGGTCCACTAAGTTGCCACTTTCATCAAAACTCGTACAATAGCCAACATGTGTACTGAAAATGACAATCACTTTTAGTACACTATGTCGGTTTTTGTACGAATTTTGATTAAATTGACAATTTAGTGGACCATTTTTTATAACACCCTGTATGATCGATATTTTTTGAAAAATGGCCAACATAGTGGACCATGCATTTTTGAAATTTTGCCGGTAAGCACCATAAGTTAGCTTATAATTAATTTTTTAATCATCAGGCATATAAGTTATTAATTATAAGTTCAAAATTCAAATATATGGTATAAGCTAACTTACTTTTTTTTCTTGGTCAATTTATAAAATCAAAGTAGCTGTTTTCCAAATCAAATGGTTTGGATTTCCATTAATTGCATATAATGTCAAGCATCCATGGCCTGTTTCCTGAATATGCTAATCAACAAGAAAAGTCTATGTTTATATGTAATCATCTCAATAATCGATCTGAAAATAGATAGATAACCGCGTTAATGTTCTTTTCTAATCTGGCTTAATTGTTGGAATAACATTTTTCCAATCCTGTTACGGAATTCCGAAATGCATATGATTGTGTTTTCACATAAGTCTATGATTTTCTTCCTTTCAAAAATATTTGATACGCAAATTTCCTTTAAATCGGGTTAAACTGACACCAAAATGAACGTCCTTCATCTTTAAGCTCCGATAATCTACAATACGCAGGTAAGAGGTCTCGGCGGAAAAACTCTCAACGCTCAACTCAATACTCACTCGTGAAAATTTGAAATTTGTATGCTATAAGCGTAAGAATATCTGATATTATATAGTATTACTTATCAATACAATTTCAAATTAGGTTAGATATAACTTAATTCTAAATCATGAACATTAGCTTTATTAGGATTTTTAGATATTTGAATTTGAAAAGATTGATATAATTATTTTGTATCTTATATATGGAATATGAAAATCAATTTGGAGATTCAAAATTTAATATTTTATATCTACAATTTCAAATTGATAATCTTCAGATATTATTCATTTGATATATTATATATAAAAATATAAATAATAATATAAAGTCCTATAAGTAATAATATAGGAAAATACTACAATTCCGTTATGGAACCATTCTGTTGGGATTTGTAACCGTTAGATCATCAAGTAATCGTCAATGATAGTTGATCTAACGATTACAAATCCCAACAGAATGGTTCCGTAACAGGATTGTAGTCTTACCCAATAATATATATAATAATTTAAAGTGACTAAGTACTGTTGAATAATTTTAAAAATCCTAATAGACATAGATAAAAATTAAAATTAATACAACAACATAAACAATGACAAATTGACTCATATAACTATTGAACCTCTAATTTATGTGTAGAGATAGATCACATTCAATTTTCATTTCATCAAGGACACATCTTTTATTGAAATCACACCATTAATTTACCAAACTCTTTAAACTCGCTTGTGTGCAAATCCCAAAAATAGGAAAATATCATTCACACTTTGCGTGAGGAAGAACTTGTGTGCCAACACAGGAGACTAAACAAGCAATATCAGTAGCTCCACAACCTTGATAACAAGCAAGAGCTCCTGACCCTCCTCCGCTAATCCCACAGTCTAAGGTGCACGTAATTGCCGCCTGGCTACAGTTGATCATGCATTGGCCGACCGATGGTTGTTGTGCAGCAGCATACTGCATTAGCCCAACAAAGCATGCTAGCACGACTAGCATGATGGATAATCGTTGTGCCATAAAGAAATTAGAACTCGAGAGCATTATAATTAATTAATAAAACATTGTCTTTTTATATAGTTGGGTTTTGTTTATGGGTTGTGAACTTAAAGTGTTAAGTTCTCCCGTTTTATAGAGTGTGGAGTGGATCAACTTGTGTGGATCTTTTTCAATGTCAATCTTGAATCGGTTGTCTGAGCATGAAGAAAGATGATTCGATTTGGTTTTTCAGTTTTGGGTTCATGAGAATCGTGTCATGGTTTGTTATTTTTCGTCCTATATGTCTTTATGGGTTTTCCTTCATCAGCTATGTTGGTTTTATTGCTATATAATTTGGCCTTCGGCGCATGGAAATGACTAAAGTATTTGCCTCCACCGTTAAAGTATTATATATTTTATTTATTTATTTTTTTTTTTTTAAAAGAGTGCAACACGAGAACTTTCCAGGAGTCACCCATACTAGTACTACTCTCGCTCAAGTATTATATAGATTAACACAATTTTCAATTGGTGCGCTATATTCATCAACTATGTTGGTTCTTATCAGATTTTGGGTACATTAAACCTCAAAAATCATCAGTTTTAGGCCATTATTCACGATTTATAAAATTAGTTGTTATGGCGTGATAAATATTAATAGCTGCCACATAACATGTTACATGACTAGTGACGTGAAAATAAACTATCTATTTTGTCAATTTATCGAGCTTCAATATTGAAATATTAAGTCGCCACTTATCAGGTCAATGTGGCATAACAATTAACAACATATCCACTTTGATGTGTTGTTGCACCTCGAACCGGCTCTAATTCGTTCTTGAACCAATTTTCTCTCCAAAGACCTGCAAAATACGCCAGGAGGTGTTCCCAACGTAAAATCTCCGATGATTAAGTCAGTAAGGAATTATAAAAAATTGTGTGTAATTGTATTGTAAAGTTTAGAGTGTATAGAGTGTTTAACTCTTACCTTTCATCTCTTTCACCTATTTATATTGAATCTTTGGCTTCTTGATCAAGATTTGCCTTATCCGGTTGCTCGAAAGCTTGCCCAACGGTTATATGGCTACCCCTAGGTCGACAAACTCATTTTTACCCGTAAGATCATTTAGGTCTTCCTCGTATATCACTACGTGTATCTATCAACTGGCCCTCTTCTTGACCAAGTCTCCATATAAGTCGACCTTCATCATATAAATCCCCCAACCTATTGGACATAGCTCTACCCATTCTGTCATAACTATTATAAGTCTGAGCTATCACTTGCCCGAGCTACTTCCATATTATGTTGTTTGAGCTACTTGTCGTAAGATTGTTCGAGCTACTGATAATTTGACATACTATACTGTTCGAACTATTTTACTGAAAATTAAATTTCCACAAATATAATGTTATTTGAAACTTTGGATTTATAAATGAAAAGCCAATCGTCCACATCCTCCAAATATAATTACATGCTTAATAAAGAACTTTAATTTACATTTAAGAAAATGATTATATTGATATCTATCTTTATATATATATATAATTGCTAGCAACATTTTTATAAAACTATTAGGTTGTTCCGCCTTTGTCCGTTACAATCCAATTATGTTTATATTTTTATTTTTACTTTCTGTAAAACCTGTAAGTGAAATCTAATGGCATTTTTAACATATTAATTAAAGTTTAATCATACTTTTTATTAAATTTATTATATAGTAGTTATCGCTAACTAACCAATTATAACACCCACTGAGGACGAAGATAAAGAGAGAAATAGGGGCACCTTTTCAAATAAGTATAAAAAACTAATACAGAGCTCGTGGGATGCACGGGGTGCACAATTTTAAGGCTATTTATCTAGGCTTATAATTATATACATGAATAAAGAAAAATGTACGTGTGACCCGTGCGAGATATATTTATTTGAATAATATTATATTAAGTTTATAATACACAAGAAAATTGTACAATATTCAATAAAAGTTTTATAATATTCAAGTGGAGTCTTAAAATCTCTTGTACATTAAGACTACTGACAAAATAATATTTTAATCAATGAGTTTCATTCCCTTGTAGCCAAATTGTGAATGTGATTTGAGGAGTACAACAAATCGATATATAGCTGACTTGCTTTTTTCATTGTAGTTTTTTTTCTTTTTTTTATAATGAATTTAAAGATATTCTAAAATATAGCAAAATAAATTTTTTTTATTACAATTAGAAATTTTACTAAATATAAACTCTCAATCTATGGTGTTAATCAACGTTTAAGTCTAAAAAATTAGGAATGTTTACCTCTTTTAATCAACGTTTAAGTCTAAAAAACAATAGAGTTATTATAAGTTTTTTTTTCTATATATTTTAAAACACTAAATATGAGCATGTTAGGGTTAGCTTGTAAAATAATTAAAATATTATCTCACTAAAACATTTATACTAATAAAAATTTAATTTTAGCATATAAATTTATCCCTTGATATAAGAGAAAGTAACAGTTTTACTTATTTTTTCACCATATAATATTTAATTATTATTTTATTATATAATAAAAAAATATTGTTAAATAGTGTAGTAGAATTGTTATAAAATTATATGATTTTTTTTTTTTTACAATATGGATTTAATATTTTTTTATGATTTGATAATATAAACAAATCTATACTTAACTTTGACAAATAAAACAAATAAATACTTTAGTAAGTATTTAATGTATATACTAAATAGGAATATATTTGGTATAATCAAATACTAAATATAATCAAATAAGTCAAAGTGTACATTTTTATTTGGTATTTGATTTTTTTATTATTAAAATCTTTTTATTATACTTACCCTTTTAAAATAAAACAAGTAAATAAATTAATTAAATAAATAAAATATTATAATACCAAAATAGTAATGGCATTTAATGCAGTTGATTTTTCTGGATAGTAAATGTAGTAAATAGAATCTCCTTTTATATAAATATAGATTGTATAATACGGAAATAGTAATGCAATAAATATTGTTGACTTTTCTTTATACTAAATCTGGTAAATGGTATACCTTTTAATATAAGTATAGATTATATTGCTAAAGTTTTTCTTAAACTATTTATTGTGCATCTCATTATGCATTTTTTTAATAAGATAATTGCCTTTAGTAGTATTGTCAAACCTTACAATTGCATAAATAATAATAATAATAATAATAATAATAATAATAATAATAATAATAATAATAATAATAATAATAATAATAATAGGTTGGGTGTTACATTTTCAAATGTGGATTTTTAATTAATAACAATATATACGAAATTACAGAGTAATTCTGTTCCCATTTTTATTTAGATTTAAAGAAAAATGATTATAAACTTTTTTTTTTAAAACGACAATTATATTAATAACTGAAAAAACTAAAAAAGATTCACATTTACATGGTGATCTGTAGCTTATAGACGTAGCAATAGTTAGTTTGAGAATAATGTGTTACCATCAACACTTGTGTTGTAATATAATGATTACATTATTCAAAATAAGCAATTTAAATGGGCGCATATAAAAGAAGAAGATGTAGCATGTATATTTAATTTTGTTGCATCCTAATTTATTTCATCCATTATTAAAGTTTATTCAGCATATAAATAATATCCAGAGTCCCACGAACCAACTAGAGGGAGGCCACGCATCATATCCGTTGACACAATATATAAGTGATGCTATGAAAGTAACAATTGATTATTATTGGCGAGGCAGGAGGTGATGCAGCCAATGTCCCCAGTGCCGCAACCCTGGTAGCAAGAGCTCTGACCACCTTTGACCCCACACTCGACTGCACACATCATTGCCTTCTCTTCACATTTTATTAAGCAATCCCCCACCTGTGTCTGCCCTTCCGCCACCACCACCCCACACACCAACACCAACACCACCACTGCACCAACATAATTCTTACTTGCCATCGACTAACCGATTAATTTAATTAATAGCTCCGATTATGATAAATTTTTTATTTTAATGTGAGATTAATGGTGCTTATTAATTGATTGGGGGATATTATATAGTGACACATTAAGTTGCTTCTTGGACTCCACTTGGTTCTCAAATGCAAATGGTGTGACTGCTGTTTGTTGCGACTCATCAATTTGAAAATTCATCAAATGATAAAGGTAAATGTAAATAGTTTGCTGCGTGGAACCTAATAATACATAAAATTTGGGGATAATAGGAGGCGGGTTAATTTAGAGAGAATAATTGAGCACAATACTGATAAAATCAATGGCGGCCCATGAACATCTCAGCGGTGAGCCCACAGGCGAGCGCAGCCTTGGGTATCCTTGGCACGCGCCGCACGCCTTCCGCAAGCACCACACCCATCCCCATGTGAAGGTGCGGCTCTATGTGGCAGTGGAAAGCCCAAACCCCCGGATTATCCGCCACGAACCTCAGCGCCGTCCATCCGTACGGGAAAATCACAGCCGTGTTCCTCAACGGCGCGTCCCTCAGATTAAACCCTTCCTCGTCCCTATCCCTGAACCTCCCCTCACCGTAGCCCACCACCCAGAAATCGTGGCCGTGCAGGTGCCACGGGTGCGCCTCGCTCACGCCCTCCTTGAGCGCGTTGGCGTTCTGCAGGACCACGTCCACCGTCGTATTGAACGCCAGCGTGTACACCCCGTTGCCGATAGTCGCGTTCGGGTTGGGCCCGGGCCTCGTCACGTCGTACCTTGGGCTGAACCCGTTGGGGGGGCTCTTCTGGTCGAAGGCCCACTTCAGGCCGTAACGGATCGAGCCCAAGTAGGGAGTGGGTGGGAGGACAAGGGACACGTTGTTGATGGCCCACTTGGTGTACCCGTCTACCGTGTTCTGCGTGTTCAGGAGGTATATTCTCCTGTGGTGCCTGCGTGGCGGTGCAGGTGAGCCCCTCAGGGCGAGGATCCTGTGGGCGAAGGATTTGGCGGACTGGGAGTCGTTCCATAGGGGTGGGACCGGCGGGCGCGTGGTGGGGAGGTTTTGGGCCGGGTGTGGGAGGTAATTGAGGATGGTTAGGCCAGGGGGAGTATTGGGCTCACGCCCCACTACGTTGATTGAGGCCCAATAGTTTTGGGTTGGGTTTTGGTCGGTGGTGAGGAGGACAGAGTAGGTCTCGCCCGAGTAAATGTAGAGGTTGTTGACGGTGAAAGGCTGCACGTAGTTGCCGTCGGCTTCCACCACTACTAGCTTGTGACTCTATTAGACAAATACACAAAAAATTAAATAGGTAAAAAAAAAAACAAACAAATAAACAAACAAAAACCAAAAAATTAGAGATTTGATGCAAAGTGATGTTTGTGTGCGCTTTATTTTGGCTATAATTTTTTAATAAATGGAAATGCATTATTGTAATGTTTGTTGGTATATGTGTCCTAGAGACAATCATTTTAAGGACATATATACATGATCACATTAATAATTATATTGGATTATAATTATGGTATTGCAATTAATTAAATAATTGTTTGATTGTTTGCAATTTATTAATTAATTGCTCCCTTGAGTTAATACTGTCATTAGCAGAGTGAGATGTTAATTGATGAAGTATAACTCTCAAATCGCCTCAATCAATGATCATTAAGAAAGGGATATTAATGATACGCGATAGATTGACATGTGGTCTGCATCACATTCTTCGAGAATATAGTATGTCTCACTGCTATGAATAATTGTTATTCGTGATGGACACATGGATACTTTGGAGAGTATTGGCATACCCTACCGATAAACCATTTGTTTATGTGTCTATGGGAGTATCGGTGTGTGGAATGGTGTAATAGTCCTTTGATTTGAGGTCAATACGCAATTCATGTATAGAGTGATTTACTTAGACCTAGTCCAACGCTTACGCCCTTATGGGTAGATACGGGCTTGTGTTGGGTAGATCACGATATACATGGAATTGGTAGTTGAGCCAAGATAGGATTCATTCCTCGAATATAGTTTCGAGAGAACACTCGTTTTCTCTATACTGGGTTGACAAAGTCATTGGCCAATGCACGCGATTATATTTGAAATGGTGTTCAAATATAATTGATAAAATCAACCAGTAAGATGAGATAAAATGATTAAGCTGTTTGGCTAGACACACGTTCAAATCCTAAGCTTAATCGAGTGGTTCGTGAATGAAGGGACCGTATCACTATTGAGTTCTACACGAAAGGTTTGTTTGCTTGTCCATGTAAACGTACTTCATATTTTGAGTTCGTCCTTCGACGCAGTCTAGGAGTTTCGTAGGATCATAAATTAGATTTATGTCAATATATGAAGGCCTATAGGGTCACACAATATGCAATCAGTTTTCCGGCTAAGAGTGAATCGAGAGTGTTAAATATTCAATTGGATTGAAATATTTATTTTTGAGTAATGAGATTATTTTCTATTTGATGGAAAATATTTAATTAAGTTAAATTGGATTTACACTTAATTAAATTATTAATTGAAAAATAATTAATTAAGTTAAATTGGATTTATACTTAATTAAATTATAAATTGGATTAGGTCCAATTACCTATTGGGCTATAGGGTTTCCTAAGGCCCATATGATTAGGTTTGACCTAATTATAAATATCTCATTATCTCATTCATAATCTTAATCGATTAGAACGATCATTAGATGAAAGATGAAAGATACATCGTAAAATAAAATACTCTCTAGCTTTCTGGATCGAGGATTCCTAGCTTCTTCACCGGAAGGGATTCATTGGCGTTAGATCGTGCACCGAAAAACTGGATTGCGTGGATACCATAGTCGAGGACAAAAGACGAATAACTGTAAGTTTTCGTGTATCATTCACGTGATCTAGGATCATATCGAATAGCTATAGCTGGATCTTCGTTGTTGGTAAGAAAATTTTTAAAATTCCGCTGCGTGTGCGATTAATTCGTACATCAAAAATCCAACAGTGGTATCAGAGACTCGGGTCGGTGTTCATAGCTATTTGATTTTAAATTAGATTTACATGGATCAAATATGTGTTAATCATGTTAAGATAATTCTGGGAATTGATTCGGAATTGTTTTAGTACTGATTAAATTACCATTAAGATTTTGGCAATAGGTTACGCACGATTCTGCACAATTATGGGAATTGGAATTCCTGTGGTGCCTATTGATTTTAATGGTGATTAAAGAAAAACTAAGAAAAACGTTTTGGAATCGTTTTTGTTTCTGTTCAATCGGCACTAACAACAAATCTGGGATTGAATCATGTGACGAAAATAAATAAAATAATTTGGAATTATTTTTTTCTTTATGTTCAAATTCGTACGAACCTGCTCGCAATTTAGTCGCAAAGCCCTGGGATTTGGAATCTGCTATTTTANTATAGCCGGATCTTCGTTGTTGGTAAGAAAATTTTTAAAATTCCGCTGCGTGTGCGATTAATTCGTACATCAAAAATCCAACAATGTTGATCTATATAGAATGAGTGCAAGACTAAAAATTCAAATCAAAGTATAATTACTCCAATACTTCAATCGAACAAGAAATTTATCTAGGTAACCAATTAACCGTTTTGCTATGAAGTCAACGGTTGGCTCCATGGTGGAGCCAACATTCTATATACAACAAATCAATCTACCATATTAATAAAACTATATTAGTGTTATTTAAGTAATAAGAGAATTTTAATCGATTATTGTGATGCTTCAGGCCAGCTGGTGAACTTTGAAAAATCCTCTTGCTTTTTTAGTAAAAACACAAATATTGGGCTGAGGAGCGATGTGTGTAACTTATTAGGAGGGATGCAGGAACAGAGAAATGCCAAATACCTAGGCCTCGCTATGGTGATAGGGAGATCAAAGCGGGATGTGTTCCAAGTTTGTGGAGGACATTACTGAAAGAAAACTTCTTAGCTGGAGTAACAAATATCTGAGTTCAGCAGGAAGAGAGACACTCATTAAAGCCGTTCTTAATGTCATGCCTGTTTATGTTATGTCATGTTTTTACCTTTCCAAAAATATGTGTGACAACATAAATAGGTTAACCAGTAAATTTTGGTGGGGTGGAGAGAATGGAAAAAGAAAAATGTGCTGGATTAGCTGGGTTAAAATGGCCTCAGATAGAAGTCGAGAAGGATTAGGATTCAAAAACTTGGAGGCTTTTAATTTAGCTCTTCTGGCAAAGCAGCTTTGGAAAGTCATCACTCAACCAAATCTCTTAATGAGTAGAGTTATGAAAGTTAAGTATTTTCCTAAGGGGGGTATCTGCAATGCTTCGGCGAAAAACCAAGACTCTTGGGTCTGGAAAAGCTGGGTCAAGGCAAGGGCAGCTCTGAATCTTGGTCTCAGGTACAAGATGGGTGATGGAAGGAATATTCGAGTTTGGGATTCCCCATGGATTCCCAACATTGACAATTTTAGGCCAAAAGGAAAGAGGGGCAGGGATGACAATGTTAAATGGGTGTCTGATCTAATAGATGACAATGGGAGAGTGTGGAATAAAGATCTGATTCAAAACATATTTTCAGCCAAAGAAGCAGAGGAGATTCTATAGCTTCCAATTGGTGAACAGGGCAGGAAAGACAAGCTTGTCTGGATTTTTAACAATGATGGGAAATTCTCTGTCAAAACTTGCTACAAAGCAATCATGGATCGAAATGAGCTAACTAGATGTCAACCAGAATCAAGTAGGGGAGCCACAGCTTCGAAGAAAATCTGGAAGCATATGGAAAATCAAAATAAAGCCCAAGCTCAGAATCTTCTTGTGGAGGTGTGTTCACGACTCTCTTCCAGTGGCAGAAAAGCTTAAGGTGAAAAGTATCATCCAAGACTCTTGTTGCTCTATATGTGGTGATAAAACTGAAACTTTAATGCATGCTCTTTTTAATTGTGAAAGAGCTCAAAATATCTGGAAAATAACAGCTGTCAGGTGGGATAATCCCTAACACTGATGATTTTAGAAGTTGGTGGGATATTATTTGTTATGCCAAAAAAGGTGAATGTTGGGAGGACAGGATTGAGCTTACGGTTTATATGTTATGGTGGTTATGGAAAATTAGGAACAACTGGATTTTTGATAAAAAATTATTATCGGAAAAGGAAGTTTTTGACAGGGCAAGGGAGGAATGACTTGAGTTTAAGGAATTAAATGTGTTTTCTCAAAACTGTAGAGAGTTGGATTTGAATGTTTGTCACACTGTAGGGCAAAGGACAATCTTTGTCAGTGCATGTGTTCTTCCTTGTGTGAGCAGTGGCTTTGGAGGAATTGTAGTGGAAGATTCAGGGGTTCTTTGTCGAGGTTGGGAAGTCTTTCTTGATCAATCTCATGCCCATACTGAAACTTTGTTTCTAGGAATTAAGCACGCCCTTTGGAAAGCTTTCTTATTGAACTGGAAAAGCATTGCTGTTAGTGTTGATGACGAGGATATGGCTCAAGCTCTTTAGGCAGTAAATGATTTGGAAGGTTCTAGTAAAATCATATCTGAAGACATCTACTCCCTTAAAAATCTTTTCGGCTCTTGTATTTTTTTGTTTAACTCGCATATAGCTTGGGCTGATTCTTGTGCTAGTTTAGCTTTGAATTCGGTTATATCTAGTAGCAGCCATGATTGGTCTAATGCTTGTTCGGCTTGGTTGTAATCTCATTTCAGCCAAGTGCTTTGTTTGATCAGTAGATCATTTGTGTAATTATTTATTTGTGTTTATATGAGGATCGTATCTATCGTTGCCCGNATATTTAACATGATATTGGATAGTAGAAATTGAATTTAACATTACAACATAAATGATATCCACATAATAATTGCTGATGACAAGTTACATTATTAAAATGATGCAATAACGCATTTTTAAAGTTTATAATATGGATGACTCTTTATTATTTAAAAACCGTATCCTGTTAGAATGCGCTTGTTGTGAAACTGAATATGAGCAAATTAACCATTCATTCAAGACATCAGCTATTTTATTTCAACTGATTTTTTCCCCCCATGAATTGGATCGTCATATGATGGAAGAAAATTGCACAAGATCGTGACAAATCCATGACTTCTATTGTTGTATTATGGGAAATTAATACATAAGATAATAATAAAATATAATAATATTACTTGTGCATCTTATTTTACAGCATAAAAAAGATAACGAGGGTGATGTTTACATAAAAGCCACTGTACATGCATCAAACTATTCAAATGTTATCTCTGTTTTGAAAAAGTCGGTCCTAATATAATAGACGTTTTGATTTTAAATAAAAATATGCATTCATGTATATTGTTAAATGTCATATTTTATTATATTATTTTAAAATATAATATTTCTGTAATAAATATTATATTGAAACAGTGCTAATTGATGCTGACCAATTGTTTATAATTTGTCCATTTGCTTACTGAAATTGAGGGACCAATATGAAAGCCTAAAAAGTAAAAAGTAAATGTGCATGTCTTTCGGAATTCCTTTTCTGGTTTACTATTAGGAAAATCATAAAGCAATTTATATTTTTCAATTATAGAAATAGGAAAAAGATATGCTGCCTGCCATGCTTTTTTCAGCCAACATACTTGTCAAATCACACTTTTTATATAGCTTTTCAGACACGTTTAACAATTGGCTGAATTATTGTTGTTTTAACTTAGCATGCACAGCCCAACCCCAAGCATCTAATCAAAGGGAACTTTCTTTAAGTGTCTAATCAGCCCTGACCTAATAAATTTTGTAACTTAAAGTAATATTTTTTACTTACTGTATAAGAGGTTTGACTACATTATGAAATCAACAGTTGGTTCCACAGCAAAATTATATTACATTAATATTAATTTAATATTCATTTACTTTCATAATTTTAAATATTCGTTACTTTCAATCGTATCTTTTATACATTTATATAACTTTAATTATTATATTTAAATTAGAATTTAAATATAAACTCAGCATTTTAGTCAAACTAAATAATTTTATTCAAAATTAACTCACTTTATTCAATAAATTCAATAAGAAACAAAATAATTTATTTTCAATCAAACTCTGTCGCAATACTTAGCTCTACGTTGTTTGAATAATTCAATAAGAATCAAAATAATTTATTTTCAATCAAACTCGAGGATGCTTGGATACAAAATTTATCCAAAAAATTCAAACATTTTTAACTCAACCACTTTTTTTAACTCAATTTTAACTCAACTCAACTATAATTAATATTATTAATATAATTAAATGATATCAACCAATCATTTTTACATATCACATCAACCTTAATTTACTATTTATCCACTCACATAATTTTAACTAACCATCACTTCAAATCTCTCTCTCATACTTTTACATCAAATCAACTTTAATTATTTTATTTTAATTATTATTTTAATATACCAACTAACAACTAACCATACCACCTTTTTCAAAATTAACCAAACTAAATCAAAAAATCCGAACAAATCCAAAATTTTGTATCCAAGTATCCTATAAGTGTCGTAATAATTAGCTTTCCATTATTATCCTTGGTAAGAGAATCTAGTTGTTCCCTCTCATTAATATCAGTTTTTTATTTTTTTTTTTCTTTTTGTGTTCAATTCTTTGCCTAGCTATATTATCATAAGCTAAAAAATTGAAATTATGTTTTATGTGAATGCCTTGGCAAAAGTGCTAGTCATATACTTTCATTTTATGATATGACTGAAAATGATCTAAAGATTAATTGCAATATAACCATATGAACCACATCAAACTTCCACTACTAAGAGAATTTACAGAAAAAAAATAAAAAGTAAAAAATAAATCTTGATCTCTTATATTAAGATTGTGTTTGGATATAAGTATGTGATTAAATATTTTGAATTTTTTTTAATCATAGTTAACTTTGAAAAAATAGGTTGAGTTATGTTTGGATGAAATTTTGTGGTTGTATTAAAATAATATTAAAAAATAATTAAAGTTTATTTAATGTAAAAGGAGAAGAAAATTAGTTAAACGATACGAATAGTTAAAATCATGTAAGTAGATAAATAGTGAATTAAAATTGATGTTAAGGATGATTAATTGATATTATTTAATTATATTGATAATATTGAGCTAGTAAGATTGAATTAAATTAAGTTAAAAAAAATTATTGGTAAAAAGTGATTAAAAATTGTTTTGATTTCTTATATCAAAGCACACCCTAAAGCGTCTTGCTTTGAATGTTATATTTAGTGTGTGTTTGAATACAAATATTTCCGTTTAAAATGATTTTTTTTTTGTTAATCAAGGTTAATTTTGAATGGTGGTAGTTGTTAGTGGAGTTTTGAGTTTTTATTCAAATAATATTTTAAATAAAATAATTAAAGTTGATATGATGTAAAAGTAGAAAGATGGTGTGAAGTGATGGTTAGTTAAAATTATGTGAGTAGATGAATAGTGAATTAAAATTAATGTGATATGTAAGAATTATTTTTTGTTATTATTTAATTATATTAATAATATTAAAGATGGTATTGTTAAGTTAAAATTAAATTAAGTTTTGAATATGAATTAAATATATATTGAAATAATTTATAAACAAAACACCCTTAGCTCTCACTCATTCTTGCTATCGTTGATGTTCCTTCTGTAGAAAATCTAGTTGCCTTTCATTCGTTTTTTTTTTAGGCAATGTGTTAATTTGGCATATTTTTAACACGAAAATAATAAATAATTCTCTATACTACATATGAAGTACTTGTATATGTATTTTCTCATTTCTTTCAATAATAAATTAACTTATTAACTTGACTTACCTGATCCCCGATACCTTAACTCCCCAAGTATGCACGCATATTGTAGCAAAATTATTAGATGTAGATAATTAAATTATATATTACGGTGAAAAAATTTTGGCATTTAATGAAGATATGTGAGTAAGAAAATTATTTTGAATAAAGAAGTAAATTTTTGTTACCCCAACGGCGAAGTTTAGTGCGGACAACGAAGTGGTGCTTGCTATCCTGAGCCTGTAGGTCTTGTTTGGCTGGACGCGGAGGATGTCGGGCGCGTACTGTTCAGTGCCTGTTAATGTGCACGCGCTTGCGGACGTATTGCTAACATGCACCGCCATGGAGCAATTGTATTGGCCTCTCCCATTAATCAGTAAGGTCTAGCACGAATAAAAAGATAAACAAATAATGTTGAGACAACTATATAAATAGTTAAAAATAACAAAAATGTTAAAAAAAAAATTATACCACATATTTTTTAAAAATGTTTCTCGAGATGGGATAATTCGGATACATAGATGGAATTGGAGATAAACTTTTTTTTTGTCTCATCATATAAATTTTTGGGATGAAGGTATGATTGGACACAATTTTTTAATCAAAATCCACTATTAATATAATTTAATGTAAGTGTGCTTAATATTATCAATATAACTAATAATATCAAATAATTAAATATGATATTTATCCATATACATATATTTAGATACTAATCATTTATAATTATTATTTAACTATTTATATTACTCAATTTTAATAATTACATTTTATTTCGTATCAATTCCCAAAATCAAAATTAATTCATTATTTCAATTTTTTTTTTTTTTAATTCTAAAGTCACTTCATCCGATGAATCAAAACTAATAAAAAATACATTTTTAATCGCTTTATTGATGTTTTGTTCGATGCCTAATAATTTTTTATAAAAAAAATTGCACACTTCCACTATTATAATTTTATTTTTATGATATTTTCTAGTATGATATTTTAATATAAAAGTGTATAGTTATAGAGTAGATTGGCCACCTAAGTACCTCCCTATATATAATTTAAGAATATACCGAACGTAAGTGGTAGATTCTCAATTTTATGATCATATATGGTAAAATATGATGCTTCATAATCTATCTCCGATAAAAATTAATAAATTATTATTCCAAATAAATCAGGTGTGAAAATGCTTTAAGATGTACTTAGACACAAATATATATATATGCGCTTAAAACGAGTTTTTTTATTAACAACGATTAATTTTGGAAAAAAATTATATAGTTAATTGTTAGTGGGATTATGATTTTATATTAAAATAATATTAAAATAAAATAATTAAAGTCGATTCGATATAAAAGTAAGAAAGACGATGCGAAGTGATGATTCGTTAAAATTATGCGAAGTTGATTTAATGTATAACAATAATTAATTTATATTATTTAGTTATATTGATAATATATTTAATTATATTGATAATATTGAGGATAGTAGGATTGAGTTAAAATTGAGTTAGATTTTGAGTATGTTAAGAGAATAGACTGAATTTATTTATATACAAACACACCCTTAAATATTTGAATTATTTACGCAGTTATTGCTCTTGTCTCTCTTCCTTCTATTTTTCCAACCTCCATGAAATTTTATTGTTCGATATTCAATAAATTTACTCTATAATTACAATTCATAAGCATCTGCAATGCGTTGGGTCTAATTTTGTTTACGCGGCATGTAAATAGACTCAAGTCTTGAATGACAAGGATAAAACTATATAAATTTAATACAATTCACTCCAATGCAAAGAGACCCGGTCTCTGCTTAAATCTAAAATAAACTTAATAGTAGATTGGGTCTCTTGTTTTTGCTCCCACATCAGTAGGACACATTTCACTTGAGATTGCATTGGAGAATATATTTTTCTACACAAAAGGCGGATACATCTGAATTTTCAAACGGTTGATTAGAGTTTGATTAACTATAAAAAAATAAATTTAAAATCCATATTAACATTTCTATTATAGTGATTAATTAATGAAAAATCAAGGAGAAGAAAGAATAACCTACCTGTGGCTCGCCAATCCAAAGCATGGGCCTGGATGAAAGGTCAACTTCTTGTTCTTGCGTGGACTTATGCCACCAATCACTGAGCAACATGTGGAACTCCCCATCGTATTGGAATATTTCCTTTTCTACTTGTGCCGCGTCAACTATCAGCATGCCGTACAAGCCCGCCGATCTCTGCATCCCGTAGTGTCCATGGTAAAAGTATGTACCCGGCTACACCATATATCTTCCAACATGTTAAAAATTGTTTTGGATTTCTTTTTTCTTTTTATAGAAAAAACTAATTATCTTAAAAATTCAATTTTAATGTGGATGCTACCAATGCAATGAATTTTAATTTATACCACCGAATTACACATAGTTGTATATGTATTGATATTTGATCCTATGTATTAATCCAACAATATTAAAAAAAAAAAAAAAAAATGCAATGGCCACTGGCCAGTATGAAATCTACATAATTAGGTAAAATATTATATATATTTGCTATCTGCAAAGTGGGTTTTCTGGGTGTGTGTTAGTGGTAGGCCATGAATTGATAAAAGAAGTCCAAAAATTACTATACAAGTGAAGAATAAAATACTTTTCAACTAGCCACCCATTTTGTTAGTGATATATGATGGTGCATTCTAAGGACAATGGTTAGGTGAGTAAAGTTAGAAACAAAAGGTTAAATCAAAAGGCCACTAACTGTTAATTTTATATACTAAATTCGATCTTAATAGTGCTAGCTTGGGTTTTATATATATATAACCTCAAATCTGAACCATGCATATAATACATGCATATAAATGCTTTTTGCACAATTTAAATGCTTTAATTTGTAGTTCAAATCGAATTTACTAAACAAAATTAAGCTAAAAAATCTCACACAATTTGTAGTTCAAACCGATTTTATTATTATTATTATAATTATTTTTTTTTTTATTTTTNGAATAAAGAAACCAAAATATTAATAATAATAATAATAATAATAATAATAATACACTGGACAATTAAAAATTCTGCCAGCTGGCAATTGACAAAGACCTGTCTAATGCCATGCCAGTGAATGACAACTCCTTCAGTGCTAAGCCCGTTAGTGAGCTCAACATGAATAGTGTCTCCGGCCCGAGCCCTTATAGTCGGGCCCGGAAACTGGCCATTGAGCCCCATGACCACACCTTCCACGCCATCTGGCTTCCAATGCATATTCTCCACCTTCCATCTGAAGAAATGCGTGGCCTTGCCCGTTGCTGACGATGGCTCCAACAACATTATCCACAAGAAAAACAAACATGGGACAACAAACCTGGTTGGCCGAGGATCATCAGCCGATAGGCTCATGATTAGATTAGATTAGATTAATTTCCTTAGATTGATATACAT